TAAAATTTGAATGATTTTTATTAGAAGCAATTATTAATTTTTATATTGAGGTACAAATCTTTTTGCACTGACCCATAATTATAATTATAATAAAATTTTAAGTTTTAATTATAATAATTTGTTTATCTTTTAATTTAACTTTTTGCATGAATCTCTTATTAATACTTCATTATTAACTTGATTTTTTATATGAATTTCTTGATAATTTCTTTATATATAATAAAAAAATTTATAAAATCTGATTATTTATCATATTAAAAATAATTTTATATTTAGTTTTTTAAAATAATATAATTTAAACTAATTATAAACTTATTATAAATATAAATTATTAAATCTAAATTTATTATATTTAGATTTAACTATAATTATAAATAAAAATTTAATTAAATTAATATATTTTTTAAATAATAATTAATATATTTATTTTAATATATAATTTTAAGTAAATTTAAAAAATTTTATATAATAAAATTTACTATATAAGCAATAATTTTCTTTTCAAAGTTAATATTTTTATTTATATATTTATATTTTAAAAATTAATAAAAAGTATTATTAGTAGATATATTATTATTATTAATATTTTTATAAAATTAATAATTTTTTTATTTATAAAATTTATTATAAAATTTTTATTTTTTATTAATTTTTTAATTTATTATTTCAAAAAATAATATATCTACAGAATATTCAAGTATTTATAATAAAAAAATATAATCTAAAATATTCTTATATTTAAAATATATAATATTATTACTAATAAAATAATTTATATAGTAATTAAAATAAATATAATCAGATTTTTTTATAGTTATATTTCTTTATAAGTTTTTATAATTATTTTTTAAGTTTTTTCATTATTAACTAATTATAATTAAAAATACTTTTATAGCTATATATCTTTATAATTATTTAATTTTGATTTTTTAAATATAAGATTTGACTTTAATAATATTTTTCAAATTAAATAATAATATTTTTATATAATTCTAATTATTAAATATCAAGATATTATTAAAATTTTAATATAAATTAGTAATTAATTGATAATAAATTAAATAATAATATTTTTATATAATTTTATAATTTATATTAAATTTTTTTAATATAATATTATTAAAATAAAATTTTAGTTTTATAAAAAACTTTTAAAATAAATTATATAATATAATAATTTTTTTTATTACTATGAGTTAGAATATGTATAAATTAAAGAAAAATAAAAGTAAGCATTTCTATAAATTTTAATTATTAATAAAGCTATTAGCTTCATTATACTATTATATATCTGTCTTCTTATTTGATTCAAAATTTTTAGTTCAATTTATATTTTTTGCAAATTCAAAATAATATTGTATATGTTTTGACTTTAGATATATCTTTTTTTCTCTTGATGCTTGTTACCAAGACATTATTTCAAAATGGATAACAAATAATTTGCTGAATTTTAATATTTCAGCTTTGTATATAATTTTTATGAAACAGTTACAAAACTAAATAAATGAACAACTTGTCATCCATTTAATGCCAGTTTTATTTGCATTTTGGAGAGTATTATTTTCATCTTTTAAATATACAAAAAAGTGTGAATTGACTAATATTTTTTGCTCTAGCTATTTCTCTTGTAATGCATCCATTATTGAAGAAAGTTTTGGCTCTTTATTTGTAATAGTATAGGATTTTTTGCTTTATCTATTAAATAATTGTATGAGAGCAAAAAAGGTAACAGAAAGGTTGATTATCATGATTTTATGCAGTATCGGTATTGATTGCTTAACCAAAACATCAAAAGAAATGTATTTCGTACAAGTCATGTAAAATAAATCGATTGGCGATCAAAAGTAATGCAACAAAAAATTAAAATATGTTAAAATCGTATGTTTTAATAAGTTCATAAATATTATGAGAAAAGTAATCTTAATATCTTTTAATTAAATTAACTTTCTATTAAAAATAATGGCATACAATAATAAAAGAACTTTAAAACTTATATAAATACAAAATCTAAGAATATATATATATATATTCTCTAATATGCAATATTCTAATTTAGAATTTAAATTCAATGAAAATTTTGATGTAAAAAGAATTTAATCTATTAATAATATTAATCCACACAACTTCAAAACCATCCGACATCATGAAAAAACTCCCATAACTTGCACGCTTTATTGACATCAATTCTGACAGCACGCTGCGCGTCAACCTTACGAAACGACAATCCTCGATCTTCAAATTCTCTTGCAACTGACAAAATAGCTAGTTTCGTATTCAGATATTGAATTGGTGTCATTCGTAAAGTTGACACGACTTGAGCCTCGACATGATGTAACATCTCAAAATAAGATTCATTCCTTATATCATGTGGCATTCCCTTCCAAATAATCTTTGGTCGTTTGATATGGTCGAGAAGTCCTTGATTGTATTCCAAAGACTCAATCTCATGTAATAATCGTGAAACAGGCTTTTGTAATTGTAGTGGTGGTTTAGTCTTGTCAATCGAACTCTTGACTAAATTTTCATGTTTTGATCTTGAATAACTATGAACAGTATTAGAGTCCAAGAGTAGGCGTGGATTTTGCATATATATATTATAGACTTGGCATGTGAAATTGATGCTAGAATCAGAGAAATCCTCTTTTGATGGTGATCGAACGGGATGCGGATTTTTGCGAGGTGGCTTTTGTCTTTTCATATTTGAAGTTAATGAAGAAGAGAAGAATGAAGAGAAAGAAGATGTTGAATTTTGTCGAATCGATTGTAAAATATTTTCCGGGGCTTCGGTGATCCTCCAACGAAATTTTGAGTTTTCTTTGTTATTGTTGATGACTTTTATTTCTTTTTCACCCTGCTGCTCCCTTTGTTCCTGCTCATCGACAATAGTATCATTATCATTATCACTATAATCGAATGCATCTTTCAGTGACTCGTTCATTTCAATGTCGTCGAAGTCGTCGTCGTCCTCTCTCAAAGCATAAGAGACAGATTTTCGTTCTTGTACTTCGTTGTTATCAAGTAAATTGAAAATCGAACGAGTACTTCTTGTGCTGATGGATCTTTGAGATAATAAATAGGAAGATGAAATTGCTTCTTGATTATATAAATAAAGTTATATATTTCATCAGCAATAGATTAATCATTAATCAAATCCTCTATCAGAATCACCGTTAAAGTTTCCTTCATTATAAAAATACATGTATATATAATAGAAAAATATACCTTGCACATCGTCTTTAGTAGGAAGTATCATAATTACTCGTGAAAAGATGAAAGAAAGAAAAAGTATCAGAGTTTCAGAGATATTATTGGATCTTTTTGAACCATGTAAATGAAGCAGAGAAAGATCAAGCAATGCGAATTTTTCTTCTTTATATAATCCATGGATCGAAGTATCATCATCACTTTCATCATTATTTGAAAGGTAGAGCAGAATAAATTTATTTGAATATTTAATGAGATATAGTATGCAATGTTTAACAATTTTATGCTTTATCGTTATTGAAATCACCTTAATTAATTAAACTCAAGATTAGTTTTTTTTTTAGTACATAAAAATGGTTATGATATCAGTAGAAATTAACGGTAGGTTGGTTTTACAGACTGAGCAAAACAAAAAAAAGAGAGAAAATTAATCAAAACAACAAATATTCGCTTAAATGATCAAGACTTGAAATGATGTTAAATCAAGTGCTGCGATCTCTCGAATAATTATAACGAGATCCATAGTTTGTTCCATACGCTTCCGATACCATTCACCCGACGATGAATGCTATAGATGTTACAAGTTTATATGCTCCTACTATAAATTTCAAAGAAACTTATGAATCTTTTGTTGTATATCAAGCAAATAGAATGGAGTCTGTAATTTAATCACCTATAAATTCTTCAAGCGATAATCAACTGCGGGATAAAAATGGAAATATTCTATAGCAGCATAAAGCTTTTTCTTGCATACTAAGAAATTTCGGGATGATTGAGTCTTTTGAAAGGAAGTGAAATATAAGATTAATGGTGTAATTTCGATTGAGCTTCAATTCGTAGATTTTATAAGGTTAATTACCGTGAAAATGAAAAAGTAAATAATAATTATAAATTATAAATTATAAATTATAAATTTAATCGAAATTCCAAAAGATGGCGTTTCTTTATAAATGTAAAGCTTATATAATAACAATTTCTGGTAATATACAGCATTACAATTCTTAGATAAATTCAAAAATTATTATTTAACAATTCTATACGATAAATAACATAGTAATTTATTTATCCAGCAAATTGGAACAAATTCAGATTCCAACGACAACTTTCTTTCCAGCTGCATACATGTAAATAAAAAATAAGCTAATAATATAAAACGTAAAGTTCCATGCAGCTTTCCTGCCTATAAGTAAGGAGTCGCGAATAGTGTCACAAAAAGTTACGAAAACGCTTGTTATCATTACTCGTTGCAGTGAAATGGAATGATGCGCTTAAAAGCTAATTCACATAAATTGTAATGAAGAATATAAAGTCTTGGTGGATTAATGCGGATTTTTACTTATGCAATGTTACATCTCAACAATTTGACAAAATACATGTAAAATGTTAAGATTGAACGATGAGATTACATCCCAATTCTTTTGATTTCCGCGTAATTAAAAATAAATTTGTTTACATATGATACCAATAATATTAATTTACCTGATTGATGTAATTCTTCAATACACGAATTAGCCTATAATTAGATTCTTCTTACATAACGATTATCGTTATCATTAATGATGCCAAGAACTGTCTATCAATGGCTTTAAAAGTGGCAATTATATTGACAATCTATCTAACTGATACGTGTTTACCAAAAAAAAACCACGAACATGCGACTGTTAATTATGAATGTATTTTTACTAAAAAAAGAACTTAGTGTTTTAACGTCTTGGGTGTTTCGATGAAACCAGTTTGGAGGATTGCGAAAGTTTCAGATTAAGGTTTTTAATAAAAAGACGAAACAAGTTTCGGATAGTTTTGCCCCTGGGATTTGGACATCATTATCTATTTGGTCAGGATAAGACTGATTCTTATAAATGATTGGTAGTTTAACTTTTCACGTGATATATATTCTGAAATAGTGACTGTTAATCCTTTTATGTATTTCGTAACAATGCCAAAATTAAAATTTTTGATGCGTAAAACTTTTTCAAAATACTTGAGGATGATTAAACCTAACACTAAAGACTGACTAATACATGTACCGTAAAACGCAACATATCTGGCAGTTATTTAACATCAAGTTTATTGTAATATTAATAAATTATCGTCTAAATGACAAATAACTAATTTGATCAAGCTGAATAAAGTTTAAAGTGAACACTTCTTGTACGATGACGATGATGTTTTTATTTGGTACACAATTATGAGTACATGTATCACGTACGAATATGATAACCAGAATGTTTATCGTTATAGAGCCCACCCTATTTCTTCGTGCAATCACATTTCTTATGCTAAATCGCCTTTTCTTTAAATTAAGAATAATAACTTTCACTCGTGTATAGCCAAGTTCTACATGTATAACTACCCGTGAAGGTTCCCTCTTACGCACTATCAACAATAAGAAGAGCACAGTGTGTTAATAAAGAAGATAAGATCTTATGATACTTTACAAGGTTTAATTAAAACTAAGAAGAATATATTTAGTCTAAACTCTATTGTATATATTAAATAAAATTAAAATATATATCAATATTTGATATGACAAAGCTTTTTATAACGACAAAACTTTTTATAACAACGAATTTTTTTGAATCTTTAATTGAATTTGGTCATTGTTTTGTTCTTCAAAATAATAACGATAACGTTGTTTGTCATTTCACGAAACATTAATGATATGTTATAGCTACACTAACGCCTGTAATTGAATGTGGTAGAAAATACGAATCGACTTATTCATAAAAAGAGCCTTAAAATCGCTATAATAAATTATCTTGTTAGATAATGTTGTGATATTGATCCAACTCAAACTCAATGTTTCATAGCGTATAAGACACATCAAATAAGAGTAAACTCAAGCAAAAAACTTCACCTTTTTATTTAAAACTCGTGTTTCATTTCATTTTCCCACAACATTTTGTACGACCTAAGAATTCTTTCGAAGTTTTTGATCTTTTAATTAAATACATGTAATTGGATCACACTGAAACTTGGTAATGCTTGTATTCAGATTTTTCTAATACACGTATTTAGAATAAAATTAACGATTTCTTTGATTCTATCTTGAAAAAAATTTACGCGATAAATTATATAATTTTTCACTCAAAGTCATTTGCCAATTAGTGAATTTTCAGACTGCTGCTTTTTGCAAAATGAAAGTTAATAAATGTATCGATGGAGACATTGTGTCCAAAATTTTATCAATAAACTTAGTTTAGAAAACATGACAAGCTGTTTATGCTATCTAAATTCTCTATATTACTTTAATAAACTGGGATTTATAGGAATATTATGCGTTGGGTGAGTGGGAGAGGTACTATGGTCGTATATCTAATTTACCTTATGGTAGGTTTTGGGAAAAAAGTACGGACAACCGTCAAATTTATCCTAATACAATGACAAGAAAGTTAAACATCCATTGTCTTTCTCAAACGTCACGAAAAAAAAAAAGGAAAATGTAATTGAGAGAATTGATAATGGTATACATACACATAATCCAACACAAAAAATTCTTATCAAAAAGAAGGGAGGCCACTTTGCATGGAGGAAAGTGTAGAGAGTATTTTTACAAATACGAGCTTTTAGATTTAATTCTACGCGGACCTCCATTAATAATTGGTTGAGATCTCAACGATGACATGCCAAATACATGTATCATAGCTGTTAGTGTGAATTTACGCCAAAATTATGTAAAATTCCTAACTTATATTACTAAGCAAGTATTAATACCTAATCTATAATTGCATAACAAAATAATGATGTATTAACGGAATTTTCGAAACAGGATTTTCCAAAATACATGTTGATGATAACAAAAAGTAAATAATCCTATTGTTTTCGCCAAATAATGATGCAGACACCAGACCGACCAGACAAAACATGCAAATTAACCCTGGTTTTTAATTTTAACGATGAAACAATATTTGTCAGATGAAATTCGGAAACCATACATGCGTAAATGCTTGGCATATTGTAATTTTCCTGCTAGGTAAATTAACTGCAAAAAAAAAACGAATCACTGTATTTTTTTGCTGCATTTGAACTGAATTCTTTTAATTTTAAAGATGAAAAATTTGAATAGAAATGTTCAGATCTTATTTTTCGTAACGGTAATGTTATTTCTAAATGCGGCGGGTCCGTTATCAAAATCGTGAGTAAATAATAAGCGATTTTTTTCTAACATTTCAAAATTACATTATTGATTCGATAATGTCATCAGATACTCAGTCAGATAAAGACATTGGGTAAACTCATCGCTGTCTGTGTGTTCCTTCCATATAATATTAATAATAAAAACCTAATAATCTTAAAACAATGCAGCACCACCACTTTCACAGAAACACTACCGACGACCATAGAAATTAACACGTCATCAATAACAAACGAAACAAATAAAAACATAGCCAGAACAGACACAACAATAGCTATTGATCAGACTCAATTAAATGAAATTACAAACGAATTCTCTTCGATATCGAAAATCACAAGCGAATTCGCTTCGATAGCATCGAATCTGCCATCAATAATTACGCAAGTGACGTTTACTGTAACCTCAACTATAAATGTAATATCACAACCGGCCTCATTATCTTCTCCACCTTTTACTGTAACATCAACTGCAAATGTAATATCACAACCATCATCATCATCATCATCATCATCCTTTACTTCTTCTAGCACAGCCAATACTTTTGCAATAAGTCCTGGGAAATTTCCCAATTCTTTAATCAAGACAACAACATCTAAAACCCCCGCAAAAACTTCTTTAGCAAGTAAAGATAGAAATGATTACATTCTTAGGATAAATTGGATATTCTTTACATTTCTAGGTGGTGGGGTTTTTCTTTTAATTTAATAACATTTAGAGATCAATAAACGTATCATTTTGCTTGAAATTATAATATTCAATAGATTGATGTCGTGTGTGTGTATATTTCTTCTGTCTGTCTCGAAATACCAAAAGATTATGAGTCTATACTAATGAACAAGTATTTCAACGCGCCTTCCTTACCCCTCTCCGTCCCAAGTGGCTCAAAATTTCTCATGAAATTAATAACAACTTGCTGAAGATTTGGCACAGTAATTCTTCGCGCGATCAAGTCATAATTACTAGCAATCAATGTCACCGCTTTTGAAGGCCTCGGAAATGGAGGGATAAACAAATCGTTGAACTCCGTCTTCTTTGTAGCGGATAAGCGATCATACATGATCTCATAAATTTCTTTGAGACTTGCGAGATAATTTGTATATTGAGAATGAAGTCTCTCTCTTGTCTCCTGGGAAAGAGTAGAGAAACGCGTCGTTTTTACATAACTCAAGAAATCATTGATGATCAGTTTTGATGAATCTCGATAGATCGATTTTAGACGAAATTGATCGGCTAAGATGAATGATGTAAATGGATTTTGTTGGAAATTTTCCTCAATAAATTTGGAACATGATTTCGTGACTGTTGAGATGATGTATTTGTCGGCTAATCTTAAAAGAATTTCCACATTTTCCCAACTGAGCTGAAAGTAGATATGCGGGTAAATAAATGATAAAAGGATTGCGAAATCGTCAGCCGATTCACCAGAGAGAGGAATTTGAGGACGATTTATTTGTTGTTGTTGTTGTTGATGTTGTATGCTGAAATTATCAACACGTTCATTAGAGAGTGAGGAACTCGAAATAAACTTTTGAGAAAACAAGTCATTGAAAATTTGTGAAGTTAAGCTTAAAATTGGTTTGTGAATGCGAAATAATGTACATTCAATTAGAATTTCAATATCTCCATCTTCATAATAATGCAATTCGTGGTTCTGCTCCATTTGGAATTTCGTGTGAAAAAGATTTGGGTAAAGTTTATTTACATGTACTGTACATGTATTGTATTTTTAAGTCACCACATGATCCTTTACCAAAATAATCAATCGTGTCACAATCAAGTACATGCATGTACATGTGCCACACGTACTCCCTGTCTAAATACTGCGCTAAAAACAACCCGTAATTTTTTAAAATGGTTACCTGATGAACTGCGCTCAGAAAGATGTAAAATTTTTGCGTTGTACATTTACTAATATTTGGATTACTTACAATTTTCTTGTATTTCAGAGAAGTACTTATTCACTTATTTTGATATAAAATTTGTAAATTTGTAAAATTAACGATTAACTAATTCTGAAAATTAATTTATTCTCATTCAGGATTCTTTAAGGGATTTGTGATTCAGTTTGAACATGAAAATTTTAATATTGTTATTAATCGACAACGATGTATCAAAACCGTTACAATTTAGCTAAATTTTGAGGAAAGATTGTATCTCAAACGGCAATTAAAAAGTAAAGCTATTTCATATTATAAATTATTATTATTATTATTATTATTATTATTATTATTATTATTATTATTATTATTATTATTATTATTATTATTATTATCGTTTTTTATTCTGCTCTGATGGAAAATATTTTCTCCCAATAATCAAAAGGTGAAATTGGTATAAGCTCCCAATCAATCATACCTTGAATTGCAAAAGGCATTTTTTGGATATATATAGTCGCTTCTTGAATATCTTTAGCGAGCACTCTTATTGTAACAATTAAAGGACGCTGCATCACATAAAATTCGTCATAAATGCCTGCCTGCATAGAAAAAAGAAATTATATTACATGCCGTTTTAAATATGTGTCTTGGCTCTTTAAATCATATATGCTGTTTACCTTATAAGCTCTAAAAGTTTCTATCGCCTGCTCAACGACACTGTTTTGATATTTTTCCTGAGTGAAATTGGAATTAAACGTAGCAATCATCCAGAAATATTTTAATTCACATCCATAAGTGAGTCTTTCAGCTGGTGTATTTAGTTTTTTCCATATTTCTTCATTATTTGTTTGAAAAAGTTTCTCCCAAGTTCTGTATGGGCCTAGTGTTATAAATTGATATGTACAAAGAGCATCCTTTTCATAGATTGAAATATGCATATCATCGTATAAAATATATTAAGGTCAGCATAAGAATAAGGACGTTTTTCCCTTATCTATTCGTCTCAACATGCATCAATAGAATCGCACTTACAATTGCCAGTGGAAGATGCACGGCTTTTGCTTCATTCAAATTATTCGCTTCTACAATATAAAGTGCACCTCGATCATCTGAAAATTTATATGCTTCCCTTATAAATCCAGATAGATATAATGACCATAATTCATCAATATGAGCTCTAAATACGTCTTCGGGAATGTCGTTTGCGGAGACTTCAAATCTTTCAATAATACAAATTTTCATTTTATATTATTTTTAATAAATTCTACCGCTTAAGTTGATATAATAAAATAATAGAGAAAGAAACAATTAATAAAAAAAGCGACAAAGTATTTTTTTCTGAAATAAGAGGAAGAAGAAACCAAAATAGATATAAAACACAAATTCTTTTCCACGAATTTCTTCTTATGCATGCAGTTGAATTATTCGAATTTGTAACACAAATCTCGCATTGTATCGTCATCGGTACATGTATTAATTAAAAATCTGTCGCAATGTCAATGTATGCTAATTATGCACACCGTATATCAAATAATAATAATGATAATACGTACGTAATAGGTGATTAACTTTTTTGAATTTTACTTTTATTACATGACATGATATTCGAAAATATTTTACTACGGAGTATAATTGTATTTTCTTCATCGCGCATGGTATCTCTGTTTCTCCCCTCATTATTAAATTCTTTCTTTGGCCACAGAAAAAAGATCTCTCTCGTGATTATGTCATTTTTGAATTGAATGACCCGAGTCAAAAAAATTTTTGCAGATTTTATATAAGCAAGCACATGTTTACATTTGAATGGCGCTAAAATCGTTTGCCTTTTAGCTAGTAGTTACTTTAAACGCGGCGGATCTACGCACAAAATCCACTATTCCTATCGCTATCCTATTTGTGCAGAGAATAACCTGTTTGGTGCATATATTTTTACGTTTATCAAGAACTTGAAGAACTTTATCGATATTTATACTGAAATCATCATCATTTTTTTAATAAAGTTGATATTCATAAATAGTATCTCCATCCAATTTGATCGTCGTGTTTCAAATTAGAGTTTGTATACCGATACCTTATTGTTATAGATCAAAAACTGAAAGTTCACTAGATAAAAACGAATTAGTTGCGCTGAACCAATCAACGCTTGACTTCTCACGATGGTAATAAAATTTATCCTCAATTGGATTTAGATAATACGTAATCAAAATTATTTTTGATTTAACTTAATTATATTATTTTGGATCATGTATAAAGAAACGTTACCCACCGCTTCATATGATTCTTTAAGAGATAAACCAATCAAATCATAAGATATGAGAATATTTAGTTGAAGATTATATTGCACGTAAAAAGTTTATAATAAAACTTTGCAAGATAAGTTTTTATCAGAATACACCAGAAAGTAAATACAAGCTATTTTTCAAATAAATGTTTATTTTGAATTTTTCCATTATAGAATACTTTCAAATTCAAGATTGATATAATTTTAAATTTAAAAATTTAAAAATTTAAAAATATAAAGCAGAAAAATTCACTATAATAATTAGTTTTAAATCTGTAATAATTTTTCGTGTACGCTGTGCCACATCGTTACTCCACGTGATATTGCTTCACGCCAAGCAATGACGCCAAGTTTTTATTGTTTTCTCTTTTTAGAAATTATTAATATTTTTAGTTTGATATTCCGTTCTGTTTTTTATATATTAATTTTTAATTTTAATTTATATAAAATAATATTACAAGTAAAGATAAAAAGAAATAATTATTATATATAGCAAATATAAGTTATAATTTGTTAAATTAATTATTTCTTATTCGGTAGCTCTTAACAAACAAATTTGGATAATACATTAATTATTTTTTATTAATAAAGACTTGTTAACTTAATAAAATTTTGTATAATTTTAATTCAAAATAAGTATTTTATTAGATTAGAATTAGAATTAGAATTAAAATTAAAATTAAATTTTTATTAATTAAAAGTTTCATTCAATAGTAAAAAGTTTTATATTCAAAAATTTACTTTTTAATCTGTATTTAAATAAAATTTTTTGTTAATTTTATTGTTAAATAATTGCCAAAATTCTGTTAATTTTGAAATATTATATAATAGAAAAGCTTCTACTTAATAAAATCTAATAATATAATAAAAATTATTAAATTATTTAAATTACAAACAAATTTTCTTATTTTATAAATTAAGAAATAATTTTTTATAATTAATTATAACTTATCATACTTATATATTAATAATTATATAATTTATAATATAATTATAAATAAGAAAAATTAAAGATTATTATTAGATTATATATTTTTCTTATATAAAATAAATAAAAATCCACTTACTAATTATTTTTTGTTTTATAATTAAAAAAATCAGATTTTTTTATTTTTTTAATTTTTAAAATTAAAAGAATTAAAAAAGAATTAGATTTATTTTTAATTTGCTTTTAACTTTAAGAATTAATTTTTTTATTTTTTATCTTTTTTAATTTTAAAATATTATAAATAATTAAATTTTTTTATTTTTAAAAATAAAAAAATTAGATTCTTTATTTTTAATTCTTTTTCAATTTTCAAAATAAAAAAGAATTTAATTTTTTATTTTTTAAATTTTTTAAATTTTTAAAATAGAAAAGAATTAAAAAGAATCAAATTTTTTATTTTTTAATTTACTTATATAATAATAATATTATAAATAATTAGAAATTATATAATTTTTTTATTAATAATATAATAAATATGAGTTGATACAAAAAGATTTGTATCTCAGATAA